AAAAAAAAAATTGAACCAACACCAATATACTATTAATTTGCCAATTTGCACAGGGAGGGGTAGAAACTAGAAAGTTAGGCATCCCATATTTTAACCCCTAGTGTTTGTTGTACATTTTAATATTTGGTCCCCATTTTTCATCAATTTTCAGTACTTTTGGACAAATTGATTGTCCTTTATTGGCTCTTACCAAACCTTAATTTTCCTATTAATAACATTTTCTCTTACTATAATTTTTATATCGATCTCTAGAGCATATACTAGAGATAAATAACACTACATAAGTTGATTAATATTTTTATTTTCAATTGCTCAACTTACATTTGAAACAACTCATATTATCATCTCAATTTTTTTTGGTAACAGTGGGATGAAAATGATATTTATTTTTCTTAATTCGAGGTTTCGATTTTAAATTTTAAAATAAAACAATTCAAGTAAAGAACATAGATAGAATCAAAATACAAACTTATGAATTCAAGATTCTAGCCTTTTTAATTAAGTCGGGGGTCTGAATCACTCCCTTTGTTTCAATTTGTTTGTTTCAGTACTTTTCATTTTAATTCATTACAAAAAGAATGTATCTTTTCTTTTTTAACAGCTTTTTAAATTATAACTTTCTTAATGTTATTTTTAAGACTACAAGATTATAGGACATTTTTGATATCTTTAATTTGAAAAACCACAAGATTCAAAAAAAAAATGTTGACTTTTTAAACTTGGTGTCAAATCAACACAAAACAAATAATTATTGAAACAAATGAAGTAATAATTTATACATGTTAAATAAATTTCTTAAAACAAATACAATAATTTAACCAGAACTATTAAATTTGAATGAACTCATATACTTTAATTTCTATCTAACTCTATCTAACTTTATCCACGATAAAAAGTGTTTTCCATTCGTACATTTGAATTAATCAAAACTCGAGGCGGATACAAAATACAAGCAAAGCATTTGTCGAAAAAGACAATAACAAGGTAGAGAGACAAACGCGTAAAACAAACGGAGCCAAAGGTAAATAGGCAGCGGAATTATTCATTTCAGTGGGTGTTTTTTTTTTGAGGGGGGGTGGTTAATTATTATACTAGGAATATAATAAAAGAATATCTGCAAAAACTAGACAATGTTTAAAGTAGTTTTCACATATGTAAAATGTGGCTCTGTCTCTCTTTACAAAGAATATAATATGTTTCTTTCTCTTGACTTGAATATTCTTTATTATTAATTGTATAAGAATTAATTTTGAAATCTTTATGTGTGATTGAGTTGGTTGATTCAGTGATCCTTTAAATGGGGGCTTTAATTAGGTTTCAAGTTTTTGTATGTTTTTTTAAAATTGAATTTGTCACAGAGGACTTACCTAGTATGATTCATCTCTTTTGTAATTTTAGGCTATTATATTGGAGAAAAATCTACCTAGTGCGCCCATAAAGATAACAATATAGTGGGTTCTCTTGTCAACTTAATTTTTTTTTTATAGAAAATGGATGTTTTATATGTCTAATGTAATTTTTATTTTGATAAATATCATAACAGAGTTAAACAATTCGTTAAGAATCATAATTTAAACTTAATGTTAAGTATGAAACGAATATAAGTGTGATAATTTAAGCCTTAAGGAGGTTAATTTAGCATCTGGAAGTTATAATTTAGAACTAATAAATATAAACTAGACATAGTTAAATATGAAACCATTTATAAAAAAATACGATCATTTAAGGGATTTTTTATCCATTATTTTTTTTCTTTTTCAAAACTTCAAAAACGGAATTTGTAAAAAACTATTTAAAAAAATTCAAATACACACAACTTAGGCGGAGCTGGAGCTTTCGGTCGAACTCAATAACTTTAATTATTAAAATTTGGCTCAAAATATTCATTATATATAATCATTTAATTTAAAATCTAATAACTAAAAAAGTAATAATTTTAAATTTTAAATTCACAAACGAATTTTGACGACTCTGTGTCATTTCTCCTCGAAGAAACTTTCTTTTTAAAAGTATTACTTTTGAATAGTATTTTATCGAAAGAACAAAATATTTCTTGGACTTTTCTCAATAGAACAATTATACTTTGAATAGTAGTATTTTTTTCTTAAAAGCACATGATATATCTTGGACTTTGTTCAGTATATAATATAACGATTCAAGCCCACAAAAACATGGTCAACATGGTTATATATCTCACAGTCTTTTCAATATTATTTCTAATAATATTAAGACTTTGACAATGTCAATTTCCATGTTCTTCACAAATATGCCTTCCAAGAAAGTCACCAAACAATTGGACAACTATAAATACCCATAGCCCTTTTCTCCATTTCTCTCCAAGCAATTACCCAAAATTAACTAAACAAAGTCCTTATAATTTCCTCTATTTTATACCAAAGTTTAACTAAACTTCAATTCTTTTCAATTAATTTTTCTTGTTGTTAATTCATCTCCATTTTTGCAACAATGGTTCTCTCAAAAACTTCCTCGGAGTCTGATGTTTATGTACACTCCACCTTTGCTTCTCGCTATGTTCGAGCTTCACTTCCAAGGTAAACACCTAGTATCGAAATTAGAAACTGCATTAATAAATAGTGTGCATTCAAGATTTGATAAATAGATATATAATGTCATTAGAGGGGGGTACAAATTTTGATTAGACGAGTTCAATCTCTACTTATGTTCTGACTATTAAATTCATTACGTGGATTCATAATCTTCTATAATCTATTCATTATCTCTCTACCGTCTCAAGATAGGAGTAAGGCGATGTACATACACATCACTTTCCCCATATCCCACTTATAAAGTTACATCAAATATATTATTATTATTAATGTTAAACTTATGTTTGAGACATATTTTGACTTATATATGAGTTTAATAAACACTTAGTGCTTATTAGTCAAATCTTTTAATTTCTTATTTTAATTATATATCAGCTTATAAACACATTTAGTTTGCTCAAAATATTTTAATTGACATTTTTTTATTATTATATTAGGTTTGAGATGCCAGAAAATTCTATCCCAAAAGAGGCAGCATACCAAATAATTAATGATGAGTTGATGCTTGATGGCAATCCAAGGTTGAATTTGGCATCATTTGTGACAACATGGATGGAGCCAGAATGTGATAAGCTTATGATGTCTTCAATAAACAAGAACTATGTTGATATGGATGAATACCCTGTTACCACTGAGCTTCAGGTAATTTCTTCTTCCCTTTTATACGACGGATTCAGAATTTTAAATTTATTGGGTATTAAATTATATAATGAGACAAGCGTAATGGATTGTTTATACACTTTGAAGCTACTGAATTCTGTCAAATTTCAATTGACGGTGTAAAATAAATATTTTGCGCTATCAATGTAATAGTAACTTATTATAGCATGTTATTTAACACCCATTTATTTTTTTTAAGTTACTAATCAACAATATTAAATAAAATTACTTAAATGTATTGATTAAGTAAATAATTTCCTTTACCCTATCGACGTATATACAAATTATTTTTACGTATTTTCAATTTTTAATTTTCAGACCTCATTTATGAATTTACACATAGTATATTATTGGGGCCAAACAGCGGGAAGAAAATGTTTTCTATATTCTTTTCTTTTTCTTTCCCTTTCCTAATATCTAGACTAATCTTTTGGTCAAACTTTGCTGAAAAAAGAAGTTTAAGGGTCAAAATGTCAATAAAAGAACTTTGAATTTGACATTTTGGCGGCCATCATACGCGGAAAAACTCACGCCCTTCTTAATATATTTTTTTATTTCAATTCATTTGTCTAATTTTTTATTTAATATCCGTTATTTTTTTTTAACAAGTTTATTCATATGCTTAGGTG